CCAGAACCAGACCCTTTGGATCTGCAGGCTCTGGGTTCTACCCGTACAGACCCTCATCTCTGTGGCTTCCTGGAGAACCACTTCCTGGATGAGCAGGTGAAAGTCATCAAGAACATGGGCAACACCTGGCTCACCTCTGCCGGCTGGCGGCCCCCGGCTGGGGTGGGTGGGTGTCTCTTTGGAAGGCTCCCCCTCAAGCACCGGGGAGCCCAGGGCCTTTGAGGGGCCTCTCCGCGTTTCCCTGGCATCTGGCTTCTGCCTGAGCCTCTCCCTGCCACCACTAGGCACTCTTTTAACCACCCTGGAGCCCTCTCCCATGCATTGGATCAAATGGAAACAATAACACTTTATGCAGCAAAAAACAAACAAACAAACAAAAAACCTAAAAACGCATCTGATTCCCACCGATTACTTTGGCACCAAAGAAGTTCAATTAGAGACCAGTCGCAAAAAGTAACTAACAAAAATTGCCTGGAAATGTAAAAGCATATTTATAAATAACTTAAGGACCAAAGAAGAAATCCAAACAAAATTTGGCAGAAATTAGATGAAAAGAAAACTGAACAAAAATAAATATACTGGAGACTAGCGAGATGAGATGAAAGAAAACTTAGAGGGAAATACAGTTGCTAATGCCATGTTATATAACTGTTAAGATTAGAAAAAAGAAAGATTAAAAGATAATTAGCTGAGCAGAGAACTCTAGATGCTAGAAACGAACAGGATAAACTCAAAGAAGGCAGTAAGGAAGTCCAGACCAAACTTTGACAATGAAGGGTATCAGTCAAATGAAAACTTGGCTCGTCGAAAGTAGAACAGAAAAGTGCGGATGTTTTCAAACTGGGGATTGGAACCCAAGAATCTAGGTCCGGGGCGAAGAGGGGCCCACAGTGGGCAGGGAGTGGGCCGGAGCAAAGGCCGCGAGCTGGCTGCGGGACCCGGCTCTGCCTGGGACTCCCGCCGGGCCTCGGACTTCCCATCTGTAGAATGGGAGCGCGGGATTCAATGATCTGCAAGGCCTCCCCGGCCCTGGCTGTCCGGGAATCTTGCATTCCAGCCCCATGTCTGGGGAGGGAATTACAGTCCTTGGGAGCAGCGATGACCACAAAGCTCTTGGGAAAGCTGACGGCGGCCCACCTCCCCGCCTCCTCTCCTTGACCACCCTGCCCTCCTCGCTTGCATTTCTTCTCATTCTTCCCACACAGGCCTGGGGCTGGTCCCGCTCTTCCCCTGGCTGGGGACCTCATCGTCTCTAGGACAACCCCCCTGCCCTGAGGTGGAGGTCGGGCTCCCAGAGTCTTACTGAATTGTCACAAAACAATTAATCACACGTGGAGCGTGGAGCGTGCGGAGCGGCAGCCTCCCTCACCCCCGTGCAAGGTCCCTGCGGGCAGGGGCCCTGGCCTGTCTCACTCATCAGTGTGTCCTGTCCTTTTCTGATGCGCCCCATTCAAACAGGCCCCGCGCCTGGGCCGACCTGGGTGGCTCCCCAGCCCCCGCCCCTGGCTCCCAGGGCTGCTGGCAGCGCTGCGTTCGCCTCTTATTTACCTGCATTGACCTCAGAGTGACTCGGCTCCATTCAGCAAAGCTGTCTCCTGCCAAAGCCGTTACAGTTTCTTAGCTCCAGGCGGAGACAGACTGCAGACGGCTTAATTTAGAAGCATCTCCCAAGGAATCCCTGGCTCCGCGGCTCTCATCCTTTGACTCCGGGGGTCCACAGGGTCGTGACCACGCGCAGCTTGAGGCCTGACTTGTAATTAGGCTCCTCGTGGCTGGCTGAGAGCTGCTATTTTCGGAGGAGGGAGCAAGTGTGTGGAATCGGAGCCACGCGTCCCCGGCGGTGACTTTCACATGCCTCATGTCACAGGCGTGCATCATGCGACCGCGGAGTTGGGCTCCGCAGGTCTGGGCCCTGAGTCCCACCGCCCTGGGTTCAGTCTTTGTGGCCCAGGACAGATGGCACCCCCTGCCTGGGGCCTCTGGCTCCTCATCTGTGAAATGGGGACAACAGCTGGACACTTTGAGGCTTGTGTGACGTGCACCCGGCAAATCCCAAAGCTGCTATTGCAACCCAGCTGCCGGCGGTTGCTGCCGGGGTCCCCGCTGTGGCTGCCGCACAAGCCTGACCGTGGGCGCACTCTGCGCCCCTCTCTCTGGGGGCTCCGGGGTCCTGCTTGGGCATCGGAGACTTCATGGGTACAGAAAAGACTCCTCCCAGGCGGGGAGCATGCTTTTGCTTGAGTTCAACGCCACCAGCCTCAGCAGCACCCATTGTCACCCTGCCTCTTGCAGCTGCCAGTGGCTCCCAGTGGCTCCCAGTGGCTCCCAGTGGCCACGTGGCTCCAGTCTCCGCCTCCATCTTCATGTGGCCGTGGCCGCCCCTTTGCGCTGTGTCTTCTCTCAGAAGGAGGCTCGACGGGGCGCCCACCTGCACAATTCAGACTGTTCTCGTCTCTACGTCCTCAGTTACATCTTCAGAGGCCCTTTTCCACATAAAGTCACATTCACGGGTCCTAGCGGCTAAGACACTGGATCTAAAAGGCCAGTGTGTGTGGAGACAGCAGACACATGGACCGCAGAGATACGCTGTCCCCTTAGGAGCCACTGGGGACTGGCCACCAGGGACGGAACTGTCGCCACCCCGGGTGCTACAGAAGACCGTGGCGACCGGGCAGTCCCAGCTGGCTGGGCATTCGAAGCAGGCGAGGCGCCCACAAGGCCCCCAGAGGCCGACGCGCCAGCCTTGCTGAGAACCTCGCTGCCTTCTGGGAGCCATGGGTGTGAAGGAAATCACGTCCCAGGGCAAAAATCAAGCCATCCTTGCCAGAGGGGGCGCAGAGGTGCACCCTGGAAGCCTTTAGCGTTCCGGTTATTTTTCTCTCTTCTCAGTAACATTCATGAGGCCTCTGGGAATGTTTCTGAAGCTGGAGATGAAGCTGAGAACAAGATCATGGTGTGATCCCACACGCTGAACGCCAGGCGTTGAGCCCTGGGCCTGGGGCCTTGGGCAGCGGGCGAGGGCCCTGCCCTGGGTTGCCATAACCTGGGGAGAGCCGGACACGGGCCCAGGAAATCCGGAGCCCGCGGCTGGGGCTCCGACGGCTTCCAGAAATGCTGCCACCGAGGGCCCGTGAAGGTTCGTGCTAAGGGCCGTGGAGGCCTCAGAGATGGTCCGTGCTGTTTTCTACGTTAGCGCTTGTGAGTGCGTTTTCTCCCAGCAGAGGCGGTCCACGGCTTTCCGCAGTCTCAAAGGGCCTGCATCCCTCAGAGATGAAGACCCTGGTTTCACATCTTGGAATAACTAACCAGCCTCAGCAGGAGCAGCAGCTGCAAGAGAATATTCTAGAAAGAATCCAGAACTTTGCACCTCGAGGGTGGGGCGAGGGGCGGCACCGAACCGGAGTTTGCCTGCCACACGTTCCCTGCGGGGCCAGCCGTGGCCCCAAGGCTCTGGGGCCTCAGCTGCGTGTCTGGCAAGTGGAGAAGGCCGAGCCGCATTCCTCTGGCCCCCGCACGGCCTGGCATTAGGGCTGGGCCCTGGCGTGGGGCGCGGCTCCCGGGGCCCAGGGCCAGGACCTGGGGTGTGGGTGCGGTGGCAGCGCCCCGGAGCGAGGCTGCGGACGCCGGCCTCAGGGAGCCTGGAGGCGCCATCAGCTCTGCCCTGTCCTCAGCCGGGACGTGACCAGTCCTCTGCTGTCAGGAAGCGACCGCTGGGCCGCGGGCCCTGGTTCCGGGTCATGACCTCCCCCGCGGGGGAGGCAGCCAGGCCTCTGTCCTGGGCGGCAGGGCAATTTGGAGCGCGGAGCCCAGACGTTTTCCCTCCGAGCTGCCCGCGCCCCCCCCCCCCCCCCGCCCACTCCTGCTCCATTGTCCCTCCCTCCCTCCCGGTCCCCCTTCCCTCGCCAGTCCTCCTCGAAGCTGCCCGCGGCCTCGTGGGCCTCGCGGACCCCCCGGACTCCTGACAAGGGGCCATGGCCCTCCTGGGACACGGGTCCTGCTTTATCCCAAAGACACAGCAGAGCAAACCCAGAAGGAAGCTGCCTGGCAGCCCTCCCCCTGGGCCCCCTGGTGGACGGGGCTCCGCCGGCTCCGGGGCCAGCGCACGCTGCCCCTCAGCCCCTGCTCCTCCTTCGATCGGGAAGTGTCCCCCGAAGTGTCTGCCCCAGAATGGCCCCCCAGCTCCGGGAGGTGGAGCTCAGGCCGTGTGTGCTCACTGTACCACCCCCGACCCCAGCCACTCGGACGATGGCGATGAGGGAGCTGCATAATTAGTCAGTGTGGCTCCCCTTCTAGGTCAGAGCTCCGCGCGGGGCAGGGCTCTCCTGCTGTTGCTGTGTCCCCGGTGAGGGGGGGCGGGGAGGGGCGGGGAGAGGAGGAAGGGGCGGAGGGGGTAAATAAAGAAGCCAGCCAACCCCTTCCTATCCCCCCTGCCTGCCCTAGGTTACCCTAAAGGAGACAGCTGTTGTAGGGGGGTGTTGTCACCCCTGGGGGAGATGTAACAAATCCAGGAGGGGGAGGGGCTCTCCCTCACCCAGCTTCCGGAGAAGGGGTCTCGGCTGAAACAGCAACAGCAGACAATGTTGCCGGCCGGGGCCCCCCGCACCTGGGACCTGTCTGTCTCCAGCGCCTGGGATCCGTCTCCCTCACCGGCGTGGGCCTGGGGGCTCCTGGGCGGCTGCCCCCGCAGGCGGGGAGCAGGGTCGTCCCCCCACAGGAGCATGAGCGGCAGTGGCAGGGGCGGCTTGTCGGGGGTGGGTGGCAGGGCAGCAGCGCGTGCAGGGCGACGCTGGCTGCGGGGGCACTGCCCGGCGTCTGCGGCCATCGCCACGGGACGCTCATCGCGCCACACGGCCCCCCCGCAGCGAGCTCCTTGGCCTCTGCCAGCTCCTTCATCACTACAGGTTCAGGTTGGGCAGGCCAGCGAGAGAAAGGGCGGGGAGCCCCCAGGCGGGGGCGCTGGCCGCTCATGCCCGCTGACTCGCTCTTCCCTCCATCCGCAGGTGGGCCCCCACCTGGACACCTTCCCCACCGAGGCTGATCGCCAGAACGCTTTTAAAGCCCACCAGGAAGAGCGCGCCGTGCGCCAGGGGACCCTGCGGATGGGCAACTACACCCGCCCCTGAGGCCTCGGGGGACCCAGTAGAAAATTCCGGGGAGACTCCCTTCCTTGCCCCAACTTACATTAGACACTCTCCTATTTCAATGTGGGTTCTGCTTCCGCAAGGACCTCAGCTCCAGGTCATAGGTTAACTTTTCTTGCTAAGAGTGCCCCCTCTTTAGGATCGCCGACACTAGCTCACCATGGCCCAACACCCCTCTACCCAGGCCGCCCACCCTCTCCTCTCAAGCCCCCGCCCAAGAGGGTGCAACCCAGTCACCGGGCAGATTTCAGCCTCCAGGCTGAGGCTTGTCCCCGAGGCCCTGCCCTGTCCGCTAGGCATTAAGAACAGCCCGCGTCCCTCCTGCACGCGACAAGGGTGTGCTCTGAAGCCTGCAGCCTGTATTCCAAACCTGCATGTTAATTGCTCTTTTGGGGGATGCCTGATGTCGCCCCATGGCAGTGCTACCTCCCTGGGACCTCTGAGGGCAGGAAGACCCCCTCCGAGGGCCGCCCCGTGGTGGTCAGGCCGGCCATCGGGGGTTTCACCACCAACGCTGACCCTGGAGGTCCACCCTTAGAAAGCACCTTCCGGGCGAGCGGCCGGCGGGGCGGGCCCCGGCCGAGGAGCTTCTCAGCCAAACCCCCGGCGGCGCTCACCTCCCCCTCTCTGCCTGTTCTTTGGCTTCTCCCCACAAATTCACTACAGATCTACTTTAAATTAAAACGCGATTGTCACCCTCCTCTTGCGTCTTTATCTGAGCACCAGCAAAGCCGTGACTGGAGGGAGAACGAAGGTCAAAGTCCTACGAGGAGGCAGCCGCTACCCCGGGGAGACCCCAGGCACGCGGTCTCCCTCCCCGGCGCCCAACAGCGCCACCCAGAGCCCCGCTCCCCGCCGCGTCCCCCACTCCCATTCCGCCCCTGGTTCGAGACTCACTCGCCCCGCTGCTGCCTCACGGCCGCTCCGGCGCCTGGTCTCCGCCTCAAACCAACATGGCCAAGCCAGCACGTGACTTTCCCCACCAAACCTGCTTCTCCCTCCATTTCTCCCGCCACATAAATGAGACCCCTGTGGACCCAGCTGTTGAGGCCAAAACCTGCCGGTGCCCCGTTTCCCTCTCCTCTGACGCGCGCTCCATCAGTGAGCCTGTGGGAGTCCCTTCCTGGCACATCCTGGCTCACCTCGCCCTCTGGGGGCTCTGCCTTGTCTCCCAGGGAATTGCAGTCGCTCCTTCACCCGCTCCAGGCGTCACCCTCACGCCCGCCTCCGCGAAGCAGCCCCTCAGCGCCCCGGTGGCTCCCCTCCGGCCTGAGGTGAGGCCCACACTCCTGGCCAGCTGGGGCCCCACGTGGGACCACCGGGACCATCCCTCTGGCTTCAGCCCCGCTCTGCTGCCCGACCCCACGGCCCACAGCCCCTCACTCCTGCCCTAGGTCTTCTGCTTGCTGTTCCCTCTGCCTGAGACACCTGGGCCCCAGATGGTCGCCTGTCTGCCCCTTATTGTCATTCAGATCTTAGCTCAGAAGTCAAGTCCCTGACTCAGAGACTCAAAAGGCTGTCCCTGAAAGAGCCGCCCCTTAAATTCACACCAACCTCCGTTAGTCTCTGCAAAACAAGGGTCCCTTGTCCCTCGCCCGTCTTATCAAGAAGGGAAGTCGCGTGGGGTCGGGACGCTCAGCTCCAGGGCCCAGATCCAAGGGCCTGGCCTGCCGGGGGTGCCCGGTGGTATCTGTGGGGTGACCCCACCCTGGAAACCCCACGTAATTGTCTGCTGTGGCTCACGGCCCCAGAGGCCCAGAGCCTGGAGATGAGAGACCTGAGTTTCCCAGCAGCCTCAGCCCCACACACATGCCCACTGCCTCAGAGCCCCTTTCCGTAAAGTGCCGCCCACACTGACCCCCTCAGGAACCTGGCCCAGCCAGGGCCTCCAGAACCCTCCCCACTTCGGGGGCCTGGATCCCTCCTCCCACCGCAGGAGCCAGGGGGAAACAAGCACCCCCACTCCTCTGGCTGAAGCCACCGGAAGCCACCTGACCCTCAGGGGGCAGGGAGCCTCGTGCGTGAGGGCAGGGAGCACTGCAAGGGCCTGGCCGCCGGGCCAGCCGGGCTGACGTCCCGCAGGTCAAGGGCATGAAGTCCAGTTCCACCCTGTAACTTCTGGGCGACCTTCGGCAAGTGTCCTCGCCTCTGTGCCGCGCCTGAGGGGCGGGACGCCGACACAGGACAGGGCTGCTGCTCCAGCGAAAGGAGACAGGGACTACGTGAGACACCGTGTGCGTGTAACGTGACTGCCGAGGGGCCCGGCACTTTAAGCCATGGATACAGATGAATTATTATTGTCTTATTAATAAAGCGCATTGAGAAGAGGTAACCAGACCCCATGAGCGATTGAGGGGCGCAAGCATGATGGTCAAAGGGACAAAAGCCTCTTTGTCCAGGTGTGTCAGGAAGGTAAAGGTGCTGTGCTCTGACCGGCGCGGCTCAGTGGCTTGGGCATCGTCCCACAGAGCACAGGGTCGCTGGTTCAATTCCCAGTCAGGGCACATGCCTGGGCTGCAGTTTCCATCTCTGGATGAGGCAACCGATCAACGTTTCCCTCCTCCTCTTTCTTCCTCCCTTCCCCTCTCCCTAAAAATAAAGAAAGAAAGTCTTAAAAAGAAGGTAAAGATATATTTAACTCAGCACAGTTTTTTGCTCTGAAATCCCAAATGGAAGGGGGAAGGGGGGACATTAGCCCGGAGTTCCCAGAAGGACCTGCCATTGGGCTCTGTCCACCGAAGGGTGGGGCTGGCTTTGTTGCGGCAGCGGCGGCGAGAGAGTTGCCCCCACGGACTGGCTTTTCCAAGGACCTGGGCCAGGGAGACAGTGCGGGCTTGACCAGAAAAAGCCGCGGGAAGTCTCGTGTCCGAGCGTGTCTGACCAGCACTTCTTGCCCCCGCAGGTGGCAGCAGCGCGCTGCGGGACCTGCTGGGGCGGGGACGGGTGCCCTGTGGGCCGCACCCCCGACCTCTCCCTGAGACGGGCCTCTGGGTGCTCCCCGCCTGGGCCAGAAGCTGCGGCGGCTGAGGGTCCCTCAGCTCCTTGTCCTACAGCGCCACCCGCTGGCAAGGCCGAGTCCGTGGCCGAGGAGGCTGCCGGCCCTTCCCTCCCCCGGGTTGGCCCTTCCTCCCGCGTGAATTATTTGTGCCCTGCACAAAGCCCCGGGTCGGATTCCAGTCTCATCCCACCTTCTTAGGTGTCCTGTCGCAGGGGCCAAACGCCAGTGCCTGTCCTCACCCGTGCTGACCCTGGCTGGGGGGTCCCTCTGATGTCCCTCGTGACCCAGTGTAGTGGCGCAGGAGGCTCCCGCCTGGAGGGGCCTTGGGGACACGCTGCCAGCCCCCCTGCATCACCCCCCCTTCCCAGACGGAAGAGGGACGTCGAAGGAGGCCAGAGGTCAGCCAGCGAGTTAGGCCCCAGAGCCGCCCCAGGCCTGCCCCAGGCCCGTGGGGACACGCTGCGGGCTCACAGGCGGGCTGCCGCAGAGATCTGAGCTCTCCTCCCGGTCCCCCAGCCACGCTGCAGGGGTGGGGCGTGCCGCGTCCCTGCCCCGGCGTTTGCCAGCCCTCTGCCTCCCGGCTGGGTTTCCTGGCAACACCCAACCAGAGATTTAACCAGACAAAGGGGCCCCTGTGTACCGTCCTCCGGAGCTGGGGGAGGGGCAGCCGGCCTGGGCCTTCACCTGGTCGGCTTGAAATTCTTGGGAGTCCCCCCTGAGGCAGGAGGGAGGCGGTGCCCTGCTGTGCGCCCTGGGTTGGGGGCAGGAGAGCCGGCCTAGGGGCACGGGCTGGGGGCTCGCGCAGGAGTGGAGCGGTGCCGAGCCTTTGGAAACAGCATATGTGAGGCTGGGGGAGGGGGCGTGAGGGGACAGGTAGTCCTACCAGACGAGACAGAGGTTGCGGGCTACTCAGCAGCGCGCAGAGGCTGGAGCCGGCCTCTGGGCCCGGAGGTCGGGTTCTCCTCACGCTGTGCCCCAACCGACTTCAGCCTGCGTCCAGGTTTTTCCACCGAAAACCCAAACCTCATTCACTCTTTCACTCTCTCCCCCAACCGCGCGCTCTCCCTCTTTCTCCACCCTCCCCCCCAGCCCCCATTTCTCTCTGTTTCTCTGTGTCTCTCTCATAGAGCCAGATACTTAATAATTTTCTTGGTAAGAAGAAAAGGGAGGTGGGAATGGAGCCTGGCTGTTGTCCAGGATTTTCAGCGGCCACGGTCGCCGCGAACCCGATCCAGGCCGTCTGCCTGGCCGCGCGCTCCGGGGAGCCTGAAGAGAGAGCCCTGGCCGCGGGCCTTGCCGTCAGCCCGGTCCCCGCGGGAGGCCCCGGGCCCGGACGAGGAGGTTCAGCTTTCCGGTCAGCCCATCCCAGCTCCCTGGTGCCGGCTGGTGCTGGCGCAGCCGCCACAGCTTCCGGGGTCCAGAGGAAGCAGCCAGCAGGTCCCGCAGCAGCCGGCAGGCCCTCGGCCCAGCTGCCTCGGTGGGTCCGCGTGACAGCCAGCCAGGCCTGTGGCTCTGATCACGCACCTTCTCCTTGTGCATTGATCTTTGTGGCCCCAGCCGGCCTTTTTGCTTCATTTCTTTTTACCTGGGAAATCTTTGATGCACGAAATCATTAAGAGAATTTTTTTAAAACAAAACTAGGTTGGCTTTTTATCCAGGTTTCTAGAATCAAACACAGGTAAATTATAAACTTGAATCCACAGATGGGAAATAATCTATGAAGGGGCTTTATGTCAATGGGCCCCAGGGTGCCCCGTGAGCCCCTCCCCCCCCGCCCCATGCCTCCTGCCGCTGCCAGCACCCAGTGCGGCGCCCCGTGCACCGTGGGGGACAGGCTGCCTGCCTGGGAGAGCGAGCGAGCGAGCGAGCGAGCGAGGGAGGGAGGGAGGGAGAAAAGAATATGTTCTCTTTCTGGTTTCAGGAGCTCCACGGGGTTTGGGGCCAAACCAACAGAAATGGTTGAGAACAGCATGACCTTGAAGCTCACAAATCGTCCAAATTCTTGCTCCAACCCATCTGTTTGCAGAGCAGAGATATTAGCACCCGGGCCTGGCCGAGATCAGCCACGCCTCCTTCCCACTCCACGTTGAAAACTGGTTTTGGTTGGAAGGCCGTGGGCAAAGCAGGGAGCTGGCTTCTCCCCAGGGGGCGGGGGGGGGGCAAGCGTGGGCGCTCTCTCCGGCCAGAGAAACCGCTCCGGCTGTCGTTGTCAGGCCTCGCACTGTGACGTGCATGACGGCTACTGCGCGGGACGAGCCGAGCGCAGAGTCCTCACAAGGGCCGTGCGACGTGGGCAGCATCACCCAGCTACAGCCGAGCCATGTCCGCGCGAGGTCGCAGAGCAGGGCTGGGACTGTGGCGGGGAAGGTGAGGCCCGCGCCCAAGGCACAAAATGTACAGGGCTGCCCCAAACTCAGCGACCAAGACAAACAATATACGATATATTTTGAAAATCAAAATTTAAAAATCCCTGAGGGACAACATAGGAGCTGACAGTTTCCACAGAGACTCGGGTGACTCACCCCACCTGCCTCTCCTGAGCCTCAGCCCTGGGTGCTGAGCCCGGATCCCACCTCAAGCTGCCCACGCCCTCGGCCCCCCACAACCTCGCCCTCTCCCTGCCACTGTGGACCGCCTCCGCCGCGGCTGCGGCTGCTCCGAGCTGGGAAGGGCGGCACACAAGCCGCAGCTGCTCCGGGAGCAGAGGGGGCCTCGCGAGCACGCTCAGTGACCTTGGAGCACATCCCCGTCCCTCCACGTGGCTCTGCCTGCTGGGCAGGCAGCAAAGCCGGCCCAGGCAGCCCTGTCCGGGCTCCAGGGCACCCCACAGGGAGGGCGGTGGGACCGGGAGCTGGGAGGCCGGGAGGAGGCAGGGCTCAGCCAGGGCCACGGGCCCACTCGGGACCCAGGGCCAAACCCAAGCCAAGGAAGAGCCGCACATACCAGGGATGTGAGTCCACAGCTAGGCCACTCCCTCGAAGCCCACAGGCCTCTCCCACCCTGGCCCCTCACGACCAAGCTCTGATGTTAACATCTTTGTCCCAAAGGGAAGCTGAGGTCCGGGCAAGAGACACTCGCTGTGGAGGGTGGGACAGGCCAGGGCCTGCTGGGCTCCTCAGTGCGGCTGGCCTCCCTCCCGCCTCTGGGGAAGGGCCCGCTCCCTCCATTCTACGGGTGTGGGGGGGGGCCTTCTAGGGCCTTAGGTCCCCGAGAAGCTGGAGGTTTAAAAGAGCAATTGCAAAGGATGATGGGCGGGGGCTGGAAGGTGAAGCCAAAGGTTCGAAGAGGAAGCGGGAGGCTGGGGAGAAGGGGCGAGAGTCCTGTAAAGGGCTGGGGCGCTGGGGCAGCGATCCCCAGCCCTTGGTTCAAACGGCGCGGTCCCGGCAGCCAGGCCCTGAAACGCCCTTGTCACCCTGACTCCCTTTCCTTCCCTGAGGCCCCCAAACCCCTGCACTGGCGGCGGCCTCCCTGGGGAGGGGCCAGGATGGCTGAGGGCAGGGGCTTGAGGCAAGGGAGGGGAGAGAGGCCCCCCTCCTGCTGCCCAGCAGGCACTCTGGGAGGCCGAGTAGCCCAGTGACCTTCAGGGCCAGCTGAGGGGACCTCAGAGCCTGTACACCCCACCAGGATACACCGGGCTCCTTCACAAAGGGGGCAGTGGATCCCCCCAGGACCCCCGATGCCGAGTAACATGCCGATTCCTGGGCTCCTCTCAGCGACGCAAGAGCCCAGTGGGCGCACACGGAACCCCCAGGCTGTGGACGAGCTGAGAGGCAAGGACTGTCCAGGGGATGAAGGGAAGAGGAAGGAGGAGGCAGATGCAGGGCCGGAAATCCCCAAACGGGAATAAAATGGGAGGGAGGGCAGAATCCCCCAGTAAATACCAAACGAAACAAACTGCACAGAATGTTTTGTATTCTAACCGAGGCGATAATTCAGCACTGATGATGGTGTTCTAACAACCTGTTAAATGTGCTGGGGCTCGGAGGGGCTCACAGAAGCCCACCAGGGCTGCAGGGTCGGGGTCCAGGCTGTTCTCTCCGACCGCGAGAGGCTCACCTCCCTCCCCACTCCTGGCTCGGGCTGCGCACATGCACACCAGCTCCGCCCTGACCCCCGCAGCGCCCCGCACCGCCCCAGGCTTCCTCTTCGCTGCGTGCGGGATCCAAACCCACGCCTAAAACCCCGCAGGCCAGAAGAGGTCTCTGCGCGGTCCGATGCGTGCCAGCCAGCGGGAAGCAGCACACGGACGTTCCTGCAGCCGGGCGGGGCCCACGGACCCTGGCCCGGGAGTGTCACGGCCTCAAGCAGGCCCAGGAGGGGGGGCCCGTTGACCCAAATTGGGACCTTGGGTGCCCCGGGAAGAGGAGGTTCCTCCGGAGATGCGGATGCACCCGGACGAGCAGGGATGCGGGATCTCCAGAGGCGCCCAGCACAAGACCAGGCCCAAGCTGGGGGCCGTCCGGAAGGGCCCCGTGACATGCCCCCTCCCCTTCCACCAAACGAAAAAGAACGACCGCCTGGCTCAGCCCCACCACGGGAAGCGCCCGCCACAGCGGCCACCGAGTCAGGGCGGGGGTCTGTCCACTCACAGCCCCTCAGTGCCCGCCCGCCCTCCGCCTCCTCGACAGCTTGCAGCCGAGCCGGGACCGCCGTCCCTGGGGAGCCCTCCGTCCTCGCCCCCAGCCCGGCCGGCGGCCGGGCCGCTTCCAATCTGCCGGCGGGCGCAGGGGGAGCGCGCGAGCAGCCGGCGGGAGGCCACCGCGACCTCGACCGAGGGAGGAGAAAGTTTCTGCTGGCCCCGGTGCGGGGGGTTTCCCTGGGCCAGGTCTCGGGTTTAGGGGGATGCGGACGCCTTGCTCTCCGGCTTCGGCCTCGGGCCTGGGTAGTTTCCCGAGGACCCATGGGGAGGAGGACGGAGCGTGCGGGCCCGCTTTGGAAGGCCTGGGTGCCGGCCTGGGGCAGCGAAGGAGGCCTCGGCCCGCGGGCCGCACCGCAGGCCAGCGGCCTCGGCTGCCTCCGCCCTCTCATCACAGACGCGATCTCGATCGCCGGGCCGCGTCCAGATCCGCCCGCCGCGCCGGGGGCCGCGCCGGACCCCGCGCCGGACGGCGGCCCTGAAAGGAGCGAACTTGGACCGCGAGGAGCAGGGTGGGCACGGGGGCGCGTGATTCACCAGGACGGGACTGTGTTTCCAGTGCCGCCTTGACAATGCGTCCCCGGGCGGGCGGGCGCCGGCCCCGCGCGCAATGGAAGCCGTTCGCAGCCGTCCACACCCGCCCTCGGAAGCCCCTGCGCGCCCCTGTGCCGAGGTACAAAAACGCCCACCCGGAACGAGCGAGCGAGCCGCGGCGGCGTTCCCGGCGGGTGGGGGCCCTGCCGCCTTCCTGCGCTGCGCCGCCCCCCTCGGGCTACACAGATTTCTCGGGGTCCCCGACGTCCCAGACACGACGGGCCCAACGTCTTCACCCTCGCCCCGCAGGGAAGCCCTCTCCGGCCCCTTCTGGGGGCAGACGCCAAGCTTTCCCCACCCGCTGCCCGGGCCGCAGGGCCCTGGGAGAGCGGAAAGGGCTGCGCCTTGCCCTGCACGCGAAGCATCCAACCCCCAACGGGAACGCCGGAAAACAACGCAACTTAAATTAAAACCTCTCCCCCGCCCCGGGACAGGGCTGCTCCGCGCGCACACGCTTCTTTCTGCGCCGGGTTTAGTCTCTTTCTGTTGCTGGAGGAGGAAAAAGCGGGGAGGGGGCGAGACAGCGGGTCACGGCCGCCCCGCGGACGAGAAGCCTGAATAATTGCGGGAAAGGGCCGGGGAAACTTTAAAAGCCTCGCAGCCCGAGCCGCCGCAGCGGCAGGCGTCTCCGGACGCCTCCCCGCCGGCCGCGCCCCCCTCCGCTAATCACCCTCATTAGGAGCCTCATCACCGGCCTAATGAAAGCAAACCGTGTGGAAATCGCCGGTAAACAGTTGGGTCTGGGCTGTAATTAATTCAGTGTCTCTTTTAATCAAACTGAAAGGGAATCGGGCAGCGGCTTGCGGAGCTGTGACATCACCCCCAAAATCGTCCGGAGCCAATCAGCGCCATCACTCCGGGGACACGTGGGCGAGTCCCCTTTAAAAAAACACACACACACAACATAACGAAAAAAAAAAGAAACAAACAAAAAAACACCCCAGCCCCAAAGTAAAAGTGACACAAGTTCATTTTTTAAAGGACGGGGGGGGCGGCGAAGGCGCGCGGAGGACCGGCGGCAGCGGCGGGGCCGGGAGGCGCTGTCCGCGGTGCTGACGGGCCCCCGGAGCGCAGGGAGCGCAGGGAGCGCAGGGAGCGCAGGGAGCGCGGAGAGAGGACCTCCCCGGCCAGGTGAGGCGTCATGCGCCGCGGGCCGCCGCCGCCGCTATCCGCGGTGCTGACGCCACCAGGTGCACTCCGTTCCGCCCGCTGGTAGCGCGCTGCAATCCGCGGGGCCGACCCCGCCGCCTTCGGCCGCCGCTTGCCTGGAGGAAGCGTGCCGTTTGGATTTTTCAAAGCCCTTCTGTATTTAGATTCCACCATCCTCGCGTCTCTTCGGTGCCAACGGAGCGCTCAGGCCGTCCGTCTCCCCCTTTGCTCTCCCCAACTTGGCGCACCCTCCCTCCCATCCCTCCCTGACACTCCCACCCCGCCCCCCCCTCCGCTCGGCGACTCGGCGCGATGCTGCAGGAGACGCGCTGAGCCCTTTTGGATCTAATGCGCAGAGGAGGTTGGCCCAGAGCTCCTGGGCTCCCCCAAGGCTGAACTCTATCCAAGGTGCCCGCAGGCTCCCTGCCCGCCTTCCCCATGCCAGCCCGCAGCTAGGGGCAGGGGCAGCGGCGGCTGGGGTTGGGGGTGGGTGGGGAGCTGTTGGAGAGGACAGGTCGCAGCTTGGCTATGGAAGGCTCCAATGGCTTTGGGATCGACTCCATCCTCTCCCACCGTGCGGGCAGCCCCGCCCTTCCCAAGGGGGACCCCTTGCTTGGGGACTGCCGATCGCCCCTGGAGCTGAGTCCGCGCTCCGAGAGCAGCAGCGACTGCTCTTCACCGGCCTCTCCAGGAAGGGACTGCCTGGAGACGGGCGCCCCGCGGCCTGGCGGGGCATCGGGCCCAGGTTTGGACTCCCACCTGCAGCCCGGGCAGCTCTCGGCCCCAGCCCAGTCGCGCACAGTGACCTCCTCCTTTCTGATCAGGGACATCCTTGCCGACTGCAAGCCACTGGCAGCCTGCGCGCCCTACTCTAGCAGCGGGCAGCCGGCAGCCCCCGAGCCAGGGGGCCGTCTCACGGCCAAGGCCGGGGAGGACTTTAGAGACAAGCTGGACAAAAGTGGCAGCAACGCCTCGTCAGACTCTGAGTATAAAGGTAAGAAAATGGGAGGTGAGGACTTGGGGGATGCTCTGTCTCTCAAAACTGGAGTTAAAACTCCAGTGCACACGCGCGGGGACCAGCACATGCGGCTCGGAGCTCCCCCGGGCCCAGCTGGGCGGCCGGTCGTGTTGGAACCTTCCCGCTGGCCCGTGGCTATGCCTTTGAGCAACAAAGAGCTCAGCGGAGAGAGTGGGGAGAGGGACACTGAGTGCCCCAGGAGAGAGTCCCCAGAATGCACACAGCGAACTTTCCAAACTTCGGCCGGGGCTCCCCTCCGGGGGGGTGCTGCTGGGCAGGAGCAGGTCCTCTCTGGCTGACCTGTGGCTGAGAAAAGACCTCAGGAAACAGCAGGAGACCCAAGGGCTCTGCTTAAATGTCCTTTTCTTTTATAAGCATGAAAACCTAGCAGGAAATTTCTGAGAATAGTCAGAATTTCCTACCCTTCAACCTGAATATCCAGCAGGGAAGAGGGACTGGGCTTTGCATCCTGTTGGGCCCTGGGAACCCTGCAAAAGGAAGGCTCGCTTCAAAGCAGAGACAGGCTGTCTGGGGGGCGGGGGTTCCCTGCCCCCGCCCAAGGGCTCCCACCGAGTTTGATTTTTAAGAGAATTGAGCAATCGATTCCCGGTGCTGTGGGACCCGAGGAAGCAGCCCCGTTCCCCTAGGTTGGGGTCACTGGCCCTTCACTTGCAATCACCTCTGCGAACCTCTTCCTTGTTGTTCCCTCTTCATCCCATTTTAACCAGGGAGCTGAGATCAAGATTAAGAGGCCGGTTCGGGGGTGAGGGAGGAAAGAAAGAAGAAAAGGGAGAAGGAAGGGGAGAAAGGAAGGGGCACCTTAATTTTATTTCTGGTCCCCAGAATCTGCCTGGACTTTAGTTCATTGGCGAGGCCAGAGGGGCAAAGTTCTTTCTGGGAAGAAATCCGGAGGCTGGAGGGGAAGCGGAGTCAGGGCTCCGAGGGAGGGAGCCCGGTGTCTCCATCCAGCCGGAAACGGGGCTCGCAGAGGCCCTTCAGGGCTCTTCCGGTCGTTTAATTAATTCCCCGACCCCACTCACCGGACAAAACTTCCCTGTGCTGCACCTTACGGTGCTGGAGGCCGGCACCGCCCGGCCCCTGTTTGGGCTCAACAAACATAGTCCTCATAAAAATGTAGGGAAGACTCATTTAACACTCCCCTTCCAACCACGAATTTGTTTGTGGACGCTCTCTGACCTCAAGCCGAAACCCACCGGGGGCCCCCTCCACTCGGTGCTGTCTGCCGCTCCTGCAGCCGGGGCCCAGCAGCGGCACCTAGAAAGCGGGCAGGTCGGGCTCGGGCGCCCAGGAAGGAGGGCCGGCGGCATTCGGCCCAGAAAGCCCTGCTTCTCTCCAGGGGCGGTTTACAGAGGCAAAGTAAACTTGCCCTGGGGAAAGGTAGGTGTCGGGAAAGGGCAGAGAAGCCTCATGAACATGTATTTATAACATTGTTTTATTATGTGTAATTCTCAACAACACCGGCATTTGGCGACGAGGGGCAAGAAGCCCCGCCACTCCTGCCAACGGGGGGCTGGCTGCTCGCGGTGAGAGAATTTGGCTCTTGTCTCCTTTTATTTGGGATTTTGAGGTGAGGTTTCGTTTAAGATAATTGGAATATCAATTTCCTTCTCCTGTCCCTGATGATATCTGATCGGGCTGGCTCTGCGCATATCGCGTAAATAGGTTTGCCGAGGAGGAGGGCGGAAGGTCTCTCCCCCACCCCCACCCCTAGGCGGTGCCGACTTTGCACCTCCGAAGCCCCGGGGTGAGGAGGGAGCAGGGACGACGGCCGCAGAGTCAACATCCGGAGCGTTTCTGAGACGCGGAGGCCACTTTCTGGGGCTGAGTTAGGAAGTCTGGCCCTGGGACAGATGCGCCAAGCCAGCCTGGGTGGGCATCTGCCGCCCCCCTCCCTTGCCAAGCCCTTTCCTCCCAGGAAGGCAGGGAGGGTCGGCCAGTCCGCACCGAGTTCCCGGTATAAAGGCTCCTCGAAGGACATTTAGAAAAGCTAGAACCGGGCCTGAAGCCAGGCACTCCGCCCCGGCTGGAGGTGTGAGGGCCGGCGACCGTCTGCTGAGAAACCGGACTGACGCTTTGCTCCACGCGGGCGGTCAGAGGGGCCCCCTCTGGGGCCTTGAGGTGTGGCCTCCGGGCCAGGGTCTAGGTGCCCCCCTCACCCCAGGCGAGCTTGCGCCAGAGCAGCGGTACTGGCTCCGAGGGCCCACCGGGAGGCCCCAGCCTGCGCTGGGGAGGGACTAGAGAAAAGCCCCCCATCTTTCTGACGCCACCACTCCACCCACCCACCCTCCTCAGACCTCAGCCCCGGAAAGTGGGGGTGTTCACAAAGAGCCAGTGGAAGAGTTAGGCCACAAAGTGAGGTCTCCACAATATCGAGTGTGGGGTTCGGATCCTTGTTTCCTCTCATTTGCTTAAACGTTCCCTGCCGGCAGGGACAGGACCGGTCCCGCCACCCCGACCCACCTGCCGCAGCCCGGGCCTGGCAGGGCCGCCGGGCGGGGCGCTGGCCTGGCGGAGGTGGCCCCCCAGGGGCGCCCTCCCAGCTAGCCCGCCTCCTGCACACGACCCACCCCATCCCGGCTGCAAACCGCCGCCTTTCCGGTTGAAAAGTCTCCCTCCCTAGTGGCTCAATTAACCGGATTATTGTTTCCTACAGAGAGAAATCAACTCACATTCAGCTGAACCCTGTCAGTGCAAACGCCACGCACAATGAAACTCACCACAAAGAAAAACACCGGGAGGATGAGTGCAGGAGGCCCCCGCCAGGCGCCCGTTTGGGGGACGCGGTCTCTTTGGTCGTAGCATCGCTTGAGGGGGAGAAGGAGCGGAGAGCGCGGAGCTTGTTTGATCAAGCCCGCGCTTCCGGCCAGTCGACCCCAATCCAAAGCGGTGAAAAGAAACCACCTTGTTGGGCCCCGTCCTTGGGCCTCAGGGGCGGGGACCCCGCGGAAACACACGGCCGCGGCCTGGAGTTAGTGGGAGCCACGGTGGACCTCGTGTAGACAAGGAAACGGGCCTCCGCGATGCGCGCGTGGAGGGGCAAACGCCTCGCTTATTTTTCCAAGGGCCTCGCGCTCCCAGGTCGGCGGCAATGCAGCCTGGCGCCCGGCCTCCCGGCGCTGCGCTCTGTGGCGGTTTGGGAACCAGGGCCAACCATCCTTGCAGACTGGCATCCGCAGAGGGGCCAGGAGAGCCGTGGGTACAATTATCCTTCCGGACAAGGATTCGCCCCAGGGCACACAGCCCTTCGTCCCTCCACGCGGGTTTTTCTCCCCGCACTCCAGCACTCGGCTTCCTCCTTTGGCGGCCCGTGTGCGGTCGGCGAATCCGGGCGCAGGTGCGGAGCACAGACCGCACCCCTGAGCACGCACCGGCGCGGCCCCCTCCCCCGGGCCGGGACCCCCGGGTGCCCTCCCCGCACGTTCGCCAGGTCGTTCGGTTTATTCCTCCGGGGAGCGCGGCATAGGGAGAGCAGGCCGAGTTCTCTCGGCTTTGGGTTATTTCTCCCTGAGGTGTCAGTTCTTCTCAGACCGATGGCCCTGTGGCCCGCGCTCCCGGCGGCTGTCCCACAGCCCTTGGGTGCGGCGGGGCCCCGCCGCCCGGAGCTGCGTTTCCCCAACCGCGAGGGGCCGACGGCCGCTGGCGGGAGGGCGGCAAGGCCAGGCGCTGACATGCTGCTGTGTCTCCGCAGTGAAGGAGGAGGGCGACCGCGAGATCTCCAGCTCGCGGGACAGTCCCCCGGTGCGCCTGAAGAAGCCACGCAAGGCGCGCACCGCCTTCACCGACCATCAGCTGGCGCAGCTGGAGCGCAGCTTCGAGCGGCAAAAGTACCTGAGCGTGCAGGACCGCATGGAGCTCGCCGCCTCGCTCAACCTCACCGACACGCAGGTCAAGACCTGGTACCAGAACCGCAGGTGAGGCCCCGCTGCGGGGGTCGGGGGGCAGAAAGGCCACCCCTCCTTTCAGATCTGCCTTTGCTCGGAGCGGGTCCACCGTCTAACGCTGAGGGAGGGCCCCTGAGATTTCCCTGACTGTAAAAGTGGGGAAACTGAGGCCCCAGGAAAGAAGGCCTTGCCCAAAGACCACAGTGATGGGGAGAGACAGCCCTAGACTGTCTCTAGGACCCAGTCATTCCCGCTCCAGGGCAGGTGGACAGACAGACGTCTGGCCCGGGTGGTCCGCCCAAGGCGTGCCCTCTCCTAGCCAGGCCCTCCCACCCCCAGCTGGACCGGCCCTAGGTCCGGTGTCAGGCCTCTGAGTTCTCCCAGCGGAAGCCCCAGGCCAGGGGAGGGGTGGGGCCTGTGTCTTGGGGAGGACAAGCAGGGGGGTGGGGTGGAGAAGCCCAGCCCAGGCAGCTGCTGGGGTGGGGTGGGGAGGGGGAGGGCTCTGAGTTTACCTGGCCTCTCCAGGCCTCCCCAGCCTTCCCTGGACTGCAACGGAGGCGGCAGGGGTCCCGCCCCGGCTCTCAGGGGACTGGGGACTGGGGACTGAGGAATTGGTGCTGAGCACCGGTCTTGAACCTGCTCTTTTCTCATCTCCCTCCCTTAACACGCTCGCTGGACAAAGATGCACAGACACAAACACACACACACAGACGCCTCCACACTCTCAACCCGCAGTCATACAGACACGCACACACACAGCGGCACAACTCACACCCATAGAAACACTTGCGCCCACAGTCACTCCAGTGTCCTTAGCGGAGGCCAGAGCGGCGCCTTCCATAAACAAGCCTCAGAACACATCGCCCCATGAATAATACACGCCGATGACTGCTCCGGGCATCAATAATTAAGGCCCGCTGCAGTAATTACACAATTATGATGATGATGAATAATTCAGAGAGGGAAACGGGGCTGGCGTGGCGGAGCCCGGCTGGGGGCGCTGGCCCGGCCTCCCTGCCAGGCGTGCGGGTCCAGGACGCAGCTCTGGTGACGAGCGTGGCCTCCGCTTCCTCGCCTCCTCCAGCCCCCGCTCACGCTCTGCCCGTGGCCTCCAGACTCGGGTGCCAGGCAGGCTGCAGGGCTTGCCCCGGGCCCGGACCTGGGTGACTGCGGGGAGGATGCGCGCGCTGGTGGCGGGCGCGTGTCCTCTCTGTTTCCGCTGAAGCGCCACTCACTGGGTGCCCGATGGTGCTGGCGGCGCCCTGCAGGGGGTGCAGCCGGGAGAGGCGGGGAGAATCAACAGCGGCCCTTCCCGGGGCTGGCAAACCGACCCCCCAACCCCCGCCGGAGTCCTCTCCAGGGCCATCTCGCCTTCTGCCCCCGGGGGACGGGCGGGCGGGGGAAGCTCCAACACCAGCTCCAAGGGCCCGGCCTGCGGCCCCCTGAGCAGAGTGCTCCAGGATAGAACCGGGCAATGGTGTCAGAAAGCCTGGCTTCGAAGCCGGGCTCTAATGCTTTGGAGACCATCTGGAAAGGTGGCTCACGCCTCAGTTTTCTGACCTGTCCAATGGGGACGCATGGCTGCAGGAGGCAGTGCAGGTAGCGCCCGCGGTCAACACGCCGTGAGCGCGATCCCCCTGGGGCCTCCCGCAGGCGCCTGGGCCGAGCACCCCGAGGGGCGCAGGTCCCGGGCGCCCAGGCCCTGACCCTGCCGTGCGCGCTTATTTCGGTTCCTTAGGACCAAGTGGAAGCGACAGACGGCCGTCGGGCTGGAGCTGCTGGCGGAGGCCGGCAACTACTCGGCGCTCCAGCGGATGTTCCCGTCGCCTTATTTCTACCCGCAGAGTCTCGTTTCCAACCTGGACCCCGGCGCCGCGCTGTACCTGTACCGCGGGCCCAGCGCGCCACCGCCCGCCCTGCAGCGGCCCCTGGTGCCCCGCATCCTCATCCACGGACTCCAGGGCGCCAGCGAGCCGCCCCCGCCGCTGCCCCCGCTGGCCGGTGTCCTGCCGCGCGCCGCGCAGCCCCGGTGAAGCGCTCGCCGCCCGGCCGCCCGCCCGCGCCTGGGAGGGCGCGTGCAGGACGCCCAGGCCGGGCTCTGTCCGGCCTTGCAGCCCGTGTCCCCCCCACGGCCAGATGCCAAGTCTACTGAGGCCTGGACCCCGGACCGAGTCGCCCCAACCGCCCTCGGCGTCCTCCCCCCGGGCCAGTCTCCCCGGGGCCACTTCCACCCGCGGATGTACATACAGGACACCCCCTCCCTCCCCTCCGCGCCGGGCCGCGCAGAGCTGTACAAACGGTGTGCAAAGTGTACATGAAGTTATTTATTCGTGACCCATGAGCCCGTGACTGTGTCCGTGAGTCCGTGAGTCCGTGGCCTGTGCCTCCCCCGTCCCCGGGCGGCGCAGGGAGGGGCCAGGGGCCTGCCCCTGACCCCGCTGCCCGCCTCTGTCCGGAGGCAGCCAGGCCCCTCGGGTTCTCTCTCTCTTTTTTAAATGTCGAAATAAACTTCTTACAAATGACAGGCGCCCGTCCACGCTCAGCCCTTCTTTGCCACCCTCTGAGAGGCCCACTCCTTGGCCCGGACTCGGTCTCCTTCCAACCGCAGCGAGGACCCTTCTGGGCCCCCTGCGCCCCCGGTGCCGCGGCTGCGAGCGGGCCCCACCGGGTGGCGGGGCCTGGGGCAGGGCCTGCCCTCCCGCTCCGGCGCGGCCCCTCCATCTGGCCCCCTGCCGCTCGCAGCCGGTCCCGGGGGCCGGGGCGGGGCCGGTGGCCGGGCCGCTCGGCTGCGGGCCGGGCCGTGATACCCTCGCTGAGCCGGCTCATCTGGCCGCAACGAGGGCGCCGGCAGCTGGTGACCGGCCGCCGCGCGCGGGGCCGACAGATGGGCTCCGAGGCGTCTCCCCCGCCCGCGCCCCGGCCGTTCGCCGGCGCCGCAGTGGCTCCAGGCCCGCACGCGGCGGGACCCGACAGGCCTTCGCTGGGGACGGGGTGCCGCCCTGAGCACCCCGCTCCCACGGCTCCTGCTTCCGAACCCGTCCCCCCGGGACACGTGGGAGATGAGATGCAGTGGGGACCAAACCCGGGTAACGGCCCAGCCCCAGGCCCCAGGCCCGAGGCCCTGCTCCAGGCTCCAGGGTCTCAGGGTAGGGGGTTTAAATCCAGAGCCAAGCTCCAGTCCACCATCCGAGGGCCAAGGTCGCCCCCTGAGGCCGTTCCCTCTGGGGGCGGGGGCGTTGCAGGCGCTCCGACCCCCCTGCCTGCAGCTCAGACTCCCAGGGCTGAAGACTCGCCCGGGGCTGCCAAGTTTGGGGGCTGCACAAGCCTGGCCCCCTCGCTTTGTGGCAGAGTGGCCCCAGGAGCGGACGGCCCGGTGGTGCAGAGGTAGGGGCGCTCCCCCACCGCCTGCTGCCCTCCCTCCCAACCCCCCACCCCGCCCACCAGGGCTCTCTCTTTCTGGGATGGTGAGGGTATTATCCTAATTTTGCAAAATGCACAGCAGCTAATTAAGTCAAGGAGCCCCTCGGCTTTCGGGGTCTTTTGCATGTGAATGGGGGTTGGTAAATCCCCGGCTCCGGCTGCGGTGGGGGCGAGGGGGTACTGTCCCCAACTCAGGGTTAATGAAGTGGGAAAGGAGTCTCTCAGAGCCTCCTGCAAACAAAACCTCCCATGCAACAAACCCGGCCCAAATCCTACATGGATTGACTTAAACCCAGGGGATAAGTGCTTTAAATTAATCTCATTGAATAAGAATGAGACCAAACAAAACTCTTTAAAATCATATTAAAAATCTATCAAAGGACAACTTGCACTGGTTGTGCTTTCATTTTGTGGAAGTGCAGGAGGTGGCGGAGCGGCGGCCCTCGCGTTTACACAGCGCAGAGCAAACCGCAGGCCCCTCCTCCGCTGTGTCGCTGTCCTTGTACCGCAGAGGCGGTTCATATCTTACACTAATGAAGAACACGGCTTCCCGACAAGTTTCTAATTACGGTGTTTTAAGTTGTCCTGCACTTCCCATCTGTAGTAATAACTTTACAACGTTGGCGGGAGGTGGGGTCCTGCTTCCATGCAGTTAGGGGCGCGGTTGGTGTGCTCCCAACCCCAGGGCGGGCGTGCCCACTTAAAAGAGGGGGCGGGGGAAGGAGACCCCCCAGCTAGCAGAACAAAAGGAGAGGCGCTGAGCGGGCTCTATCCCCGCTCCCCCCACCTCCCACAACCCCAGACTCCACAGGGGAGGGGCAAGAAAGTGGGAAAGTTTGGCTCCCCCTTGGAGCCTTGAAGCAAGGCTTCGGGGCGTTTTTGGGAAGTGGGCTGATTTTAAGGGCCCCCAGTACCGCCATTCTGAGTGTCCAAGGGTGGGACAGATGGAGACAGGTGATGGCCATGCGGACGAGGTCACTTAAGCGCCCCTTTCGAGTGCTGCTACTTCAGGGGACAAAGCCTCCTGTGCCGCCCCCTGCCCCCCCCCCCCGCCCCGGCGCAACCAAGCAGCAGCAGGGTTTACCGGCCTCGCTGACTTGGCCGAGGGCTGAGGGGCACGGCCAGCGGCTCGGCCTCGCCTGCCTCCACAGCCCCCGCCCCCCACCCCAGTCTCGCCTCGCTGCACTAGAGCGAGACGGGAAACCGAGGGAACCGTGGGGCTTCATCGAAACGCCCTCTCCTCGCTGGCGGCCCTTCCCTTCCGAAGTGGGAGATGCAGGTCCACCTGCTTCGGCACTGACGTGCTCACGCTTTGCCCTTCAGTGAGGGAGGGCCGGGGCCCCTCTGAAGGCGTGGCCCGCGAGGGGCGCTGGGGAGCGCGTCCCTCCACCCTCCCACCAGCCGCCAGGGAAGAGGGCCTTGGGCCGCCGCACTCCACGAAATGTCCCAATTCTCTGTGACTTGACGTATGAGGATCAGGTAAGTTTGGGAAAATAGGGGGAAAGAGCACGATGCAAAATACACACAAAATTAGAATATGTACAGTGGAATTAGGCTGAAACTTTGCCTAATTGATGCCTGAAATGTACAATCTGTCAAGAGCCGTAGTAAGAGAGAAAGAGATTTATTTTAAGGTTATTTAAATTTAGATAATATTAACCCTAAATCTGCTAAATCCATGTTTCTTTATTAACTGGGGGTAATAGACTGATTCTACTATGACAAGAAACCCTAAGTGTTAGCAAATTAGTGTAAGTTTTGATCTCAGAGTCCCAGCGACACATCATGCACGTCCAGCCTCCCTCCCCACAGGGACAGTCTTGGGGTCCCCTCTGCGGGAGGCAGAGGGCCTCTCTTTGATCGTCCCATCCCTGGCATCGGCCCACCTCTCACACAGCTGGGTCCCGTCTACAGTTTGTGCCCCCTTCTCATCCAAATCCTGTGAACCGCCACACGGCAGACGGCAGAATAAAAGGATGGGCAGATATGCCCAAAGTCAGCATGGCGTGTGCTACAGGTTTTATTATTATTATTACAAATTTCACCAACTGCCCCTAATAATTTGTGACAGCCAACTCTGCACAAGTCACGTTCTCCTTCCTGCACAGGCTCGGCGCCTGCGTGGCTCAGCGTCCCGACAGGGATGCTGCGCCTCCTGGTGCCCACAGACCCCCTCCCAACTGGGGCCCTTGTCCTGGCCACGAGGCCCACGTGGGTCTGGAGGGCCTACTGCAGAGGGCCGTCCACACTCACCCTGGGAACTCGAGAAAAAGGAGGGGAGGTGGCGAGTCGGGGGGAGAGGGGAACAGGGCAGGGTAGACGGCAAAGGCGCTGCCGGTCCCCGGACGCCTCCGGAGCTGCCGTGTCCAAATCTTACATTTATTGAGAAATCAATACGCCCTGGGGGTCCTCTTTCAAACCTCCCAGGAAACACAACGGGGGAGGGGCAGCTGCGGCCCAGGCCAAGCTACAAAGACCCCAGACTCTTGGAGACAAGATGGAATTCAGTGGGAGAAAAAGGCTCAGGCTGGGCGCCTTTTGAATTCAAAGGCAAATAACAGAAAGGCAACAGTAAATCAATTAGCCTGAGAGAGTCATTCTCCGTGGGCACGGAGGGCGAGGGACCGTGTGAGAACGTGACATGGAGTCAGGGGCAGGCTGGGGACAGGGACTGGAGTCGCTCTAGCCCACACCAGAACCCCTCTGGTCTCTCTCATGAAGCGCTGGGACATCAACAAAGTGACCTGATAAGGACTTTTTTCTGTTCTTTTACAAATTTAAATCTAGATTTTAACACCTTATATTGCAAAAATCCATGCCAACACAGGCTTTGTAAAGCCAGAACTCCTTCAGATCAGCGCTCCGGGCTGAGCCGGGCGCAGGCGCGCAGCAAGGCGTGGGCGCCCGTCCTCCATCAGGTCTGCGTGAGGCTACATGTGGGCAGCGACGGAATGGATACAAAGTGTCAGGCGTGGTACGTAAGATACAGGTTAACTGGCTAGTCTACACCGCCTGCCCCCCAGACTCCGCCCCCAGAGAGACGGGCTGTGCTGCTCAGCCTCAGGGGCTGACGAACACAGGACGTCCATCCGGTGCCACGGGCCCCGGGCCTGCTCTGAGGCCCAGCATGGTGGCGGCAGAGTCTGAAAGGCAGAGTGTGAAGAAGCTGCGGGAAGTCCTCGGCGAGGCTTCCTGGCCCCTCGCCGCTCCGCGGAGCACGCGCTCCCCTCTCTCATGGCCCGGGCTGGCTGCCCGGCTCGGCCGGTTTGCTCTGCTTCCGGACCCTGGCCACGCCAGCCTCCATCCCGCTGGAGTATTCCGAACGCAGGAGTTCAGCAAGGTGGTGCTTCCTCTGGGTCTTCCTACGAAGGTCAGGCCTGAGAACAGTAACAGCAGAGGAGAGAGAGACTATTATTTTTCTTTTGCGCTTGGAAAGGGGCTGAGAGCGGCTGGTTCCGAGACTGCGGAACTGACATTTTTGTACGAGCACAAGTACAATCCCTTCAATAGTGCTTGTTTTGATATTCTATGCACCAGAAGATTAGATACGGCAATGACAGATTTTCATAATGGTGGCAAAATATCATGGCATTTTTAAAAGTGAGGCTTTGTTCTGTGTTGTTTTCATGGGAAAAAAAGAACAGCAAACACACTACTCTGATGGCAGATGAGGTGTGCGATGCAGCCGTGTGCTGACGGCGGGCAGAAAACCCAACCGAAACCGCGGCGCGCTCGGTGGGGCAGGCGAGCTGGCGGCCCCCGGCCCCGCGCGCCCCCCCACCCCAGGCTGCCTCCTAGGGACCGAGCAGGGCCCGCCTGGCAGGCGCTGCACAGCCAGGGCTGGGGACCAGGCACAGATGCCTCTTCCCTGACAGAAGAGACCCTTGGGAACAGCCCCACCCGGAAAACCCGACCCCAAGGCGCGCTCCGCAGACGGCCCAGCCTGCACCCAGGCCAGACCCGGCTCCGGCCCGCAGACTCCGAGGTGTCTCGGGGCGGCTCTGGGCCGCGGCACCACGGCCTTTTGCTGATGGAGGGCCTTGCCTTCAACGTGTAAAACACACATCTGCGAAGGCCTAAGGGGCGAGGCCCAGTCAAACGAGGTGCAGCTGTCGTCAGTTTCAACAGGCCTATTTGATCAGGAGATCAGAGGGGAAATTTGCAGAAGTTCAGTCATACACAGGAAAAGTGATTACGCAAGTTAAAGAGTAATGTTTCACGAGACAGGATTTTAACCAGAACAGCAATGGCACCATGACCCCTCAACCCATGCCGTGACGCTGGCGATTCCTCAACATCCAAGTGGTGGCGCCTTCTGGTACCAGTTCCTTGGGGTTCTTACAAGAGGCAGGCATTTGCCTTCGACTACTTATGTTTGCAACTTTTCCTTTGTGTGATAATTGGAGAATAAGTTAGACTAAACTTGTGGTCAAAATAAATATACCAGAACTCCCTTAATACTCCCAAATTAAGACCAGGCTGAACACTGACGGAATGGCGGTGGCAGAATGTTGTGACGGCATCGGCCCCGGGTCACACAGCCACGCCCAGTCATAGCCATGCCTGCGACAGTCGGACAGTGACTCCCGCTGCCACACACAGGGACGCGCAAAGCCAGCCCCTGCTGGGGGACAGAGGTTCGAGGCTGGGGACGCTCAGGGCCCGGGGCAGGAGGCCTGGGGGTTCGGGGTTAGGGTGTGCGCCCGGCTCGGGGTGAGACTGAGGGGGGCCAGCGTCATCTGGGGACGGGCCTTCTGGGGCCTGCATGTCCCACACAACCTATGCCCGATGAGGCAGGTGACATGGCCACCCGGTTCTTTAAGGACAAAGCTGCCAAGACTCGAGGAGGGTCAGCAACTGGCCTACGACAATCTACTCGCATGCGTAAGAGCCAGGATGCAAACAAGCCGGAGGCGCTCAGAGGCCACGTCCCCACCGGCCGCCAGCCCAGGGCGCCTCGGACAGCCAAGCCCAGCACGACTGAGGCGACGTGGGCTCCTTCAGGGTCACACGGAACCGTTCCAGTAGGGTCATGGGGGCTGGAGGACGGGGGAGGGCGGTGAAGGGCATGTGGGGGCTGGAACCTGGCTCTGCCGCTCATGAGCTCAGTGACACGAAACACGCGCCCCAGGCTTTCCAGCAGCCCCGCGGGAAAACAGGACGGTGCCCACAGCACGGCACATAGGGGTTCTGTGAGGATGAGGCAAACACGGCACAGGGGTGTGAGCTGTGGCTGGCGTGCGGACGGCAGTCAGCCCTGGTTAAAAATGAGGAAACTGAGGCTCAGGGATGCCAAGCAACTCCCCCAAGGGACGAGGACTGGCTCTGAGGCCCATGCTGATTCATAAGCTGTTCCCACAGGGCAATGGCTCTATGTCCCTGGACCTGCCCCTACCCTGCGGGGCTGTGCCCTGGTGTCCCTGCCGGAGGCTCCGCTCCTGACGCGGCTTGGGTGGGGGAGCGGGGGTTGGCAGCGGCGGCGGGAGACAGGCTGCCAGCCGGGCGCGCTGAACTTGTCCCAAACTGAAGGCTGCCAGTTCTGCCTGGCATTTTATTTTTAGTTGGGTTTCATGGCAGACAGAGTGAAGAGGTTGTGACAGGAGGGAACGCGCTTCTTCCCCCTCGTTTGGACCCGGTGCTCACAATGCGTATAATTTTACATGTAACAACCAGAATTTCAAAATATGCAAAATTGGAGTCAGAAGAGCCTCCCCAGCGTAAGGCCCGCCAGTTGCTGCAGCGGCCACTCCTGTCACAGCCAGAGCCTCACTGGGGAGATCGACGCAGTGACCACGCGCGGGGCAGGCACGGCCCGCCTCGGGCCAGCGGGGCCAGCGGGCGGGCAGGCGGCCACACCCCGCCCCGTGCGTGACGGCCCACTTCCACCGGGCGGGACGGTGGTTGGAGGGTGATGGCCAGTGAGGATCCTCAGGTCCACGCTGGTAGCAAATGTTAGGGAAGCCAGTTTGGGAGATGGCCCTGCTGGCTTTGAGATGAGGACCTCAAAATTCCCTAGCATTTTATGACTTTATTCTAGTCAACATACAGTTGACCCTCGAAGAATGTGGTGTTTGAGACGCCGACTGCCTGCGCAGTTGAAAATTCGTAACTGAAGCCAAAACGGGGCCCCGCACACGGTGATTCCCAGCCACAGGTGGAAAACACGGCCCTGCCTCGCACTCCAGGGCTGGACCTTGCACAGGGAGCCACGTCCGCGCGGCCCCCACCGCTCACACCCAAGTTGTTCCAGGTCAACAGTACTTTCAATGCGGGCCTCGGACACAAACTCCAAGGCTCCGGCGGTCCAGGGAGCAAGCAGCAGCTCCCATTTCCCAGGCCCAGACCCTTCAGAGGGCGAGCCTTGGGGTCGGCCCCGCTGGCAGGGCGGCCACCCCAACAGGACCCGTCTTCCCCTTGGCCAGCGCGCTGTCTCGTCTCCTTTGTTCTGAGGCCCAGCGCTTAGAAGGCCAAGTCCAGATGGAAGATGAAACGCTCTAAACCCAAGCACAGGATGGGCGTGTGGGCTCAATGCCTCCTCCTGCCAAGCTGTGGTTCTCCGGGAACTCGCCAGCTCCCCTGCCCTCCTCGTCCTCCAAAACCCAACCCTTTCCAGCGGGCTTCCTGGGCACCCACCCCTCGGAGTCACCAGGCGACAGCTCAGCTTACCCAGCAGCCACAGGGAGCCCCTTGCAGCCAGGCTGGGCGCCCCCGCGGCTGCCGGGCTGCATCGCCCAGCTGGTCGGGCAGAAGCCTCTCCCACTGCCAACGAGGTGGACTCGCAGCCTAGTTAGTAAATCGATGTGCCGCTAGGATGGCCGCTGGAGAGAGGTCTGCAGGGCCTTCTCCCAACGCCATGCACAGACTCAGAGTGGCCGGCAAAAAAGTGCTTTGGCACTGGCTTGGTTTAATGGCACTGTTTAGCAGGACAAAAGGTTTCGTTTTATTTTGTCTTGTTTTATGTATGTATTGTCAAGTCTATGAACATTTCCTTTTATGCTTTAGGGTCACATTTAGAAATGTCTTCTACATCCTAGCACTCAGAAACTATTCAAGTCCATTTTCTGAGTCTGTTATTGCTTTAATTCCACCTGGATTTTATGCTGGTTTACAGCAGGATGTGGGGCATTTACCTACTTCTTCCCAAGAGTTATCGAAGACAGCCGCCGGACAGTAAGTCTTGCTCAAGGACTCAAAACGCATCTCCGACGGCCCTTCTGACGCTCAGGACACGCCCTGCAGCCTGTGCGCAGGCTGGTGAGAACCCTCGTCGGCAGCCAACGCGAGCGGGTTCCACCAAACGTGTCAAAGCAACGCTCGGGCAAACACCCATCACAGGGGTGGCGGACGGGTATAGAACAGGTCGAAGCACAGCCACGCAAACTGGCCGCACGCCTTTGCTGATTACATCACCAGCACGTACAGGGCACCTAACGTACGTCAGGACGTTAGGCGCCTTGACAGGCGCCTAACCCATTTACTTCTCCAACAAGTGGGGACCGGGTACTACCAGCATCTGAACACCCCAGGGAAGAAGAGAGGCGTGTCCAGCGGCTGCGAGCCCACAGCTTGCCCACGTCTCCACTGGGATGCACGTTTTTGCCAAAACGAACAGCGAGTTCCTTGCATATAGTATTTTAAACACAGAAACAACGTTCACATTATCTCAAATCTCAAAGACTTATAGAGCCCCTCACAAAACGGGTCTTAACAGTAATAGCTGGATAACTTAAGTGGAAAAAAAAAAAAGCAGCAGTTTCAAATTTCATGATTTGTTCAATCTCTATACCCACAAAAGAATCCGTACACATACATATGCAGATAAAGTCTGGGGATACAAAAAATGTGAATCAAGGTTAACTTGGATTATTGGGTTATGAATAATCTTTATGTAATGAACATGTACTACTTTTATAATGAAAAAATTAAACAGTATGTTCATTTAAGAAAATAACATCAAAAGGTAGAATTTTGCCTCATGCTATAATAATCAAGTATTTTAATATTTACTTATCAAAACCTCTTTGCCCTTAGCTTCCTGTTTGATTGTGAGGGATCTCCCTGCGGGTGTAAGGATGCCAGCCAGCCAGCCAGGCGGAGGGCTGGCAAAGGGCATCTCCTCTGTAGCCGGAAAGGCCGCCCTGGCGAGGCCCAGGCGCTGCAGGGAAGGCCGGGCCCCGGCGGAGGCCAGGCCGGGCGGCTCTGCGTGGTCCTGCGGACTCCCGGTGGCTGGAGGCAGACTCAAGGTCCTGTGCTCCTGCCTTGCTCCTTCAGGTGAAGAAAAGGCAGCAATGTCTGAGCGGGAGTTTGGTGTCTCTCAGAGAACAGAGTGACAGACAACTCCAGGGAGAATCTGACAAGCAGTCCCTCTGAGGCAACC